ATGTACGCGTGTCGACTGCAACGCGTGACCTTTGTAGCGGTGGCCTCGCCGTAAACTATCCGCGTTTTAATGTGTCTTTTTTTTTTTTCGGTTTATACGCATTGACGATTTTCAAAGAGCGCGCTGGCTCTGATCGGCTACCGTGAACCCGCCGACGAAACGCTGTAAATTATTTCGCGAAATGCACAATTTGGCGACAACCCGTGAGTCAATTCGACGGTAGAGAAGATGGGATCGGGAATAATAGGGCTTTTTTTGTAGATCTATACTGCCGCATGTTTTTTTGTCTCAGAGTTCGTCCAACGAAGCTTCCTCCCCCCCCCCAAAAAAAAAAAAAAAAGTAACGAAATACGTTACTCGTTACTTACAAAATAAAGAAAAGCGTTACAAACCCACATTACCTCAAAATTGAGAAAAAAAAAACCGCGTTACCGTTAAAATACCGTATGTTACTCTTGCGTTACTTTTTATTCATAAAGTAATGGTAAAAACGTTTTTTTTCTCATTTTTTTAAGGGGGGGGGGGGGGGGGCGACAGCTTTTTTTGACAATGGGACGAAGGGCGTGGGCGTTGGGGTTTTTCTAATGTGGAACTTTTCGCGCGGGGAAAAGTCGGGCCAAATTTTGAAGGTATGTGGAATGAGTGGAATAATGATTGGTTGGCGCCTTTACTTCGTTTCAGCTCACGTCCAGACGCAGCCGACGCTGCGGGCTAAGGCGACCAATCAAGCAAAGTCAAACGCGGGAGTCACTGGGCCTTTTTTTGTTTATGATCGGCTCAGCGACGGTAGAAAACGCACAGAAACACGACGAACACCACGATGGAGTGCTTATGGCACTGACTGATTGATGCCATCAGCTCGAGGCGTCGGCTGCGTCTGGGCTACAACCGAAACGAAGTATAGAAAGACACAAAAACAAAAATGAAAGGGCGCTTTTTATCAAAGCTTGGGAATATGTAACGAGCGACGAAAGTACGTTACCCGTTACTTAAAGTATCTACCGTAAGTACGTCATCCGTTACTATTTTGGAAAAACAACGAGTACATTACTACGTTACCGAAAAAAGTAACCCATTTCCGGTAACGTCGTTACTTGTAACGCGTTACCGACAGCACTGCTGGTATTTCTATGACTTCACGACTGAGGAAGTGGAGGTGAGGGAGGGCGGGGGGGGGGGGGGGACGTTATAAGTGGAATTCGCAGTAACCCCAAACTGGAATAAGAAAAGTGACACGCCTCCTTCTATTGCGGCTCTTCGGTTCCAATCTGCGAATACTTTCAAAAGTTCCTACAAATAAGGTTGTTGAGGAAAAAAAAAAGTATCTTTGTTCAGGAATAAATTTCCCGCCACTGCAAACGTCAAAGATTGCAACAAAAAGAACACTAATTGGCAAAATAATTATATAAAATTTAAAAGATTTCTAATTAGTGAAAATAAACATAGGGTCCCCTTCTTAGAAACTCGGTGAGGGTATCCAACCCCCTTCCTTCCCCCACCTTTTCCTCCTGGGAGGCGGCCCTTTCCGGCACAGAGCTCGATGACCAGCAGCGACTGGTTGAGCGAGCCCGCCGAATCTGGGCGGCCAACGGAGCGCTGGACTGAGGGCACCGACCAGAGACCGCAAGGTCTTTTCACTTTATCAATTAATAAAGTTTACGATGATGATGATGAGCGTCGTGGAAAGCGTCCAAATCAGTCACTATTAGGAAGTCTCGAAGCATGGGTGGGGAGCGCGAGGGTGCGCTAAAGTTCCTCCTCGTGCAGCAGGCGCGAGACGGGTGTGTCCGATAACGAGGGGGATTTTCTTAGCATCAGCTTTTTCGCGTCGTCAAACCTTCCGCCTGCTACATGAGTGGGATGAGCATGAAGCGCGCCTTCAAGCTTCACTCGTGCTTTAGACCTTCCTAAAATGTTATCATTATCGCTATCTTACAATTGATTATTAGTATATAACTCCGAGTTAAAAATGCCTTTGGCAAATGAAGCTTGAAGGTATGGGCGGCATAGTTAGCGAGAGGAAAAAGCTAAGGCCTTCAAGGTCCACTTTGTCTTAATAAAAAGTCGACATACACCGGAGTTTTTTTCAGAAAGAAATTATGAATTTTCGGTGGTATAACAGATATTAGGTCAACAAAACAGATCCGGACAACGTTGCGCCCGTTCTGACATCTCCTTTTAGACCACACTCTGAGAAGAAGTTTGTGCGTCTACTTTCACGCACAACACACGGAGAGCAATGCAAAACGTCACGCTTGCATTGCTTAATGTCACAACTCAGTCTGCGTTTTTTGGCCTAAACAGATGTTTTGGCAGCGCCATTTGCTGAGCTGCCTCCGTAAGTTGCACTGATTGGTTCTCCGAGTGTTGTGCGTGAAAGTAGACGAACAGACTTTTTTTTAGAGTGGTGCACCCCCTAGCCTGACTCATAAATAGTGACAGATATGGACCAATTGGTACATGACTTCTTTTGACAAAATGCGCCGCAAGACAGGGACAGAGTAAGGGAGACAACACGAAGCGCTACTTTCAACTGAATGTTTATTGAAACAACACACACTATTTATACACCCAATCGGGCTTTTCAAGCAAGAATTCTAATGCCTTGTCTGTTATATAGACTGACGGGGCACTTATGTATCTGTCATACCCGGCAATCTAATGTTAAATGACTCGTACAGCTCTCTCGAGATTTTGCTTCTTAGCTTTCCCAGAATAGCTGACCCATAAATCCGCCTCTGCTTTAAAGGTAATTTACAAATCTCAGAAGCCTTCGGCTTAAAGCTCATTTTGCATGCCCGTAACACGGGGGTATACGAACCCAGTAGATGTGCCTCCCCGTGCGCGAGCTTTTTGCCTGCGATAGCATTTATCGCACGCGCAGTCAGAACCTAGCGAAATGAGAGGAAGGCGTTCTCGAGGAGGAACATGATTTTTACCCTGTCACCATTGCAACTATAAAAATCAATAACGCCCCAAAGCCACAGTTACCACAAATATATGTTTCAATTTTGCTTTGTTTTCTTTTTCTAGCACATACAATGTCGTAGTCTCTCTGGCAAAAAAAAAAACAAAAAAAACAGCGAGGGCAGTTTGACGAGGCCAGGGAGCCATTACGAGGTGATGACGACGCAAAGAAAACACATAACACAGTGAACTTCATTCGCTCTATTGCGCTGAAACTTTACAGGAATCTTCAATGAGCAAATGAGTACTGAAGATTCAATCAAAGTCAGAAGTCTGTTTCATTGTACTAAAACTTCGATGATTATCATAAAAATACCACAGCAGTAAACATTATAGTTTAAAACTGAACGGAATTTTAATTGTCATTTATACTACAAAAATGGGACTAAATTCATTGGTTTATAAACATCTCCCTCATAAATTTCTTCATCTGCAACTTGTGTTTGACTCCAAAGGGATTCAAACACACGGGAAAGGAATCCTTCCCTTTGCTTCCCGAAATGCGCATCACGTGGTAACGACGTCACGCTTTTGCGCGAAGCCGGGCTTACGTAGAAATTTTAAGGGGATGGGGGAGCTTTAGCTGCAGGGGCTGCACAAACGCTCCCCGCCTTGGCGTGGGATCTCTTTGCAAATGGGCGTATTTTTGCTCACGTGTGTGGCGACTCTACAGACTTTGCGCTGCTAGATGCTGGAGGTGGCATCGCCTAACTTGTTGTGGCTTGCGCTGTTGCGCATGTCGTCCGAGGCACCCAAAAGAGTCCTCGAGATTCACCAATGCCCTCCTCAAGCCGCTCCTCGTACAACTGGTTTTGCAGTCCACGTCAGTGGCATTGTATCCACCCATTCAAGAAACATCTTTCTTTTAGCAGAAGGCAGTTCGTCGTCTGCTGCATCTAACAGCGCTGCTGCGAAAATCGTGCATCGCCGTAACATGTACGCCTTCATTTTTTCTACTCTCGTCAGCGCACACCGAGCCTTGTTGTCGAGAGTGCAACCGCTAAATGCGTTTGATAACACTGGCATCCCTCTCGGCTAAATGCGTCTGATAACACTGACATCCCTCTCGGCTCTTTGCCGTTCGCGTGAATGCTTGAGTCGGGGAGGGTGTCCCTCTGGTCCTGCCGATCACGACGTCACGCATATCCCTCCCCGAAAAGCGTCCCTCGTGTGAAAAGCACATAAAAACGAACGCGGAACTGGCCTCGTAACGCACAACAAGTAAACAGGATGCGACAGAAAAAAAAATCACAGTCGGAAAAGTATATTCCTCGTAGATCCTTTCGAAATCCTTGACAGGTAGTCCGTCACGCACTCATCACCAGATCGTAGCGTCATCACGTTTAGCGCGGATCGAGAAGGGACAGAACCTTCATCTCCCGACCAAGGCCATATCAACATATCCGTGCGTCCAGTTCACAGCTAATGACGTGCGCCGAATGCATTGCACGAAACAACAAAATGTCCGTCCCTAGTCATCTGACTGCAGCCAACCGCACGCGCAGACCGCCATCCTCATTCCTATCGCGCGCCTCACCTCTTTTTAATCGACGCCGGTCGAAAGAGAACTTTCTTTCACAGTTGTTCCTTCTCACCAGCCCGTTTCGACTCCCTCACCCTTTTCATCTTTTTCCCCCTCGGCGACCCCCTTATCACCTATCGGCTAAAAGGTGAGCGAGAAGGTCACCGTCAGAGGAGGAGAGGGAGGACGCCGAGTATCAGTCAAAAGGAGCTGCTCCAAGGACGGCACCCCAACCGGTGCAAAGCAACCGTTCTCCGAGCATCTGATTCCGAAGCGCTTCTCGCAAGGCACTCGGGCAAACTTTGGCCGACAGAAACATCGGAGAAAATTAAGCTAGCTTCGAAGGAACACTAAAACAGAACCACTAAGGCTTGCTCCGTTACAATATCAACACCAGGCGCCGAAGGGAAGAAGTTGTACGATAAGTCACGTTGCCTGAAGACTTATGAGAGAGCACGCAGGCCACTGCGAAGCGATTGACGAGTCGAGCGTAAGTCAGTAGACATCCATAATGTTGGGAAGCCTGGAGTTTTTCACGAGGATCGTGGCTGCGGTCTACAGCTTCTTCTTCGCTCCGGACTGTGGCATCTTCAGGGATGTCCGCTTCACCGGACATGGCAAGAGAGTGCTGGTCAGTGGCTGTGACTCCGGCATCGGACTAAGAACTGCCGAGCGGCTCCACAAGGCGGGTTACCAAGTGCTGGCCGGATGCTTGTCTGACGAGAGCGATGGAGCCAAGAAGCTGTCCCTGCTGAATGGTCCACATCCTGTGGTCGTGCTCCAGTTGGACATCACGAAGCAAGACAGCGTTCGGGAAGCGCTCAAGAAGGCGGAAGTTCAGGAGAAAGGTGAGCGGTGCTTGTTTTGCTCGTCCGATGTATGGCGAAAAGGCTATTGGAGAGAAGGAAAGGATGGGGAAAACATCCAATGCGGTCTGACAGTGCGCGCCTTTTACGCTGTCTCATTTGTGAAGGAACTAGAACTCACGAGTCCTTCACTAGTTGAAAACGTCAGGAAGGTATTTAGCAGACTCTTTTAATGGTTCGTTTATTAATGGCGTTAAAGAGTTAAGAAAGAAAATTATACCTGTAGAAATAAAATCATACGTTCCCAAGTTCAGTCACAAAACCTCGGCGTACTTGCCTCTAATGTGTGAGAATGATCTTGTAACCGTCATAAATTCTATGTCTATAACAAAGTCATCAGGTATACGCAAAATACGTGTGCGAGATTTACGTTATATTATATATCATCTAAAACAAGTTCTACTTAAAATCATTAACGGTTCTCTTACTACAAGAAACATTTCTAAAGAGCAAAAAGTTGCAGTAATTAGGCCTCTTTACAAAGGCGATAATAAAAAGGATTTCATGAGTTACCAACTGATATCAATATCGCCAGTAATTTCGCATATCATGGAAAAATGGGTTCAGACAAATGTGAATACCTTCTGTAAAAAAATGTTCTCCTATTACTGAATCGCAGTACGGGTTTCCGAAAAATAAAAACACAACCGCACTTTTGGAGGATTTTTCGGACTGCATCAACGATATATTAGATAACAATAAAATTGCTATTTTCTTATTCCTAGATATATCGAAAGTGTCCGATATCATCGATCCTACATTACTTTTAGGAAAACTTGAAAGAATGGGTTTTGAAGGACCATTTTATGATTTTTTTTCCATGACTACCTCACAGACAAATTTCAGTTTGTGAAAATAGAAAATTCTGTTAGTAGTAAACCTCGGGTTCAGTGTGGACGTGTACCTCAAAGGAGCACTTCTCACCCGTTGCTGTTTAACATTTACATAAATTAGTTAAGTCTTTTACCGCTCCAGTCTAGAATCTTTTTATATGCAGACGATATAGTTCTACTATTACTATGTGACATGTACGAATACGCAATTTCAATATTTCAAAAGGACGCAGATATGCTATTGCAGTGGTTTCATGCCAATATTATTTCAATAAATAACAACAAAAGGAAAATTATGTATTTTCGTAATCCCCATAAACAGGTGAAGCTAATGGCAGGTATTTATTTAAATTTGGGGCATGGCTACCCTTGCGAAAGTAAAGCACTTCCTTACGAACATTTTGTAAAATACTGAGGCATATTTTTTGACGAACGTATTTTATGGAACCATCACATAGAATTTATTAAAAAAAAAAAGGCTTCGCGTAGTAAAAAACGTTCCTTCACCGGTTAAAGAGCGTTCGTGATATAAACGTTAGGAAAACTGTTCTTATGGCCTAAAGAGACGATCTTGCGATACCGTATTACTGTTTTCGACCAATGTGCAGGAAATAAAAAGCTAGGAATAGACAAACTACTCAAACAGATTGCGCGTAACGTTGCGTACGGAACCACGTATGATAACCTGACCTAGTAATGGATATGAAAGTAAATGAACTAAATATAATGTATTTTTCTAAACTGTATGAATATGTAATATTAACACGGCATTACTACGATAAGAGCTCGAAAATTGAGGTCAAAAAAAGAAATCTGAGGTGCACAGAAAGGTACGTAATACTCAGAATATTTACAAACTACGGAAAGAAAATAAAGCGGCATTATATTTCTTTCCTTTTTGATTAATTACCCGATAATTTGAGTAGTATATCATCCATCCGAACGGCAAATAAAGTTCTTAGGAAGTGGTGTTTAGAATGTTAAACCTGATTTCCTGTTGTTTAGTGTGTTTTTTTCCTGAATGTTATGCGATGTTGATGTTCAATTATTGTTCATTATGGTATGTTTCACGTGAGGTCGTATAGTGTTGAGAATCTGTTAGTATTTCAGTGTTCAGTGATTTTGTTTTGATTTGCATGTGGTGAGTAGTTCCTTTTACTAGGCGCAAAGATTGCTGTTTTACAATTCTGTTTCATTACTTTATTTATAGGGTTACTTGTAATACTGTGACCTATTCCTTGTATTTATAAATGCTTTGGTCTGCCTGGTCTCACAGACAAGCCATATCTTCTTTGCTTTTGTGGGCCAGCTACTCTTAGTGTTTTTTTCAAAGGAATAAAAAAAACGTTATTATTATTAAAGCTGTCCCGCCTCCAGCACGAGCTTTCCTAGCCTCGATAATACTTCGGCCTCTCGCGAGCTTTGGGTGTGCACGCGCAGGCAAGGCACGATTGAAGGCAAAGCTCGGCAAAAGGCGTGCGAGAGACCGGGCATTACAAATAGACACCCTGCCGTTCTGATTCTGCCAGGGACTATTGGCACGCACCAGAGACCGATTGTATCTGTCCCTAGAGGTTGAAATATTAAAAAATAGAAATGGCGTATCACAAACATACTTTACAAAAGACGGCCGGGTTCAAACTGGAGGCAGAGTGTCTGGCATCATGTCAAAACCTTCCCGGCCTCCACGGTGTAAATTGCGAAAAAAAAAAAATGTGTGGAAGTTGTAAAGAAAAAATACGAAGCTTTGATAAGCCGAGTAGATATAAACCGACGTGGATGCATGCTAGCATCATGGTTGAACTCATTCTAATAGCATACATTGCATTACTAACGCTTTGATTTGCAGAAATGACCTTCAGAATTGTCGTTGGGCGGTGCCAGCTGAACACTAATAAACAAGAGTAAATAAAAGACGTTTACAAATTTCTGTAACGCGAAATTAGAGCGCAGCTCTTGAGGTATTTTGACTTTGCGATACACCGTGCTAAACAAATTCACTCTCACTCTCTCCTCACAGACTGGTTCTGCACCCTCCTCCTTTTCCTCCTTAATACCCCCTCCTCTGTATCCTCCCCTCCTTTTCCTCCGCACCCTCCCCTACTCCCACAGTTTCCCCGCTAAATTTAGTCGGAAAATTGACGCCCCATGACCTTAATACCAATTCAGTTTCCCCGCTAAATTTAGTGGGCAAAATAGCGTCACAAGACTTCATGTCATCCCACTTATGAACAAATTCAGTTTCTCCACTAGATTTAGCGGGAAAATTGATGTCACGTGATCTCAACACCAGTTCAATTCCACGCTAATTTTAGCGGGAAAACTAAATATGTGTTGAGGTCATGTGACGTCAGATTTACCGCTAAATTTAGCGGGGAAACTGTATGCGCAGTGTTGCATCATGGGACTTCACAGACCTAAGCACTAATTCAGTTTCTTCGCTACATTTGGCGGGGAATTGAATTGGTGTATAGGTGTGTGACGACCCAAAACGCAACGCGCACGGTTACGCCGACGGTGACGTCGACGCCGCAAAGCACGGGAACGAGCGCCCAAGAGCTGCGCTCCGATACACAACAGCTGGGCTATAAACCATATTAAACCAACTAGCTCAGCTCCAACCAGTAGTTCAGAATTGTCATATGGTAAAAGGTTTCTTACATTCTCATCTCCGGTATGTTTGAAACAGACTGCTAATTTATGGTCACGGTTTAGTTTTCCGCATCCCAGGAACATAGCTCTGAGTTGGTTGAATTCTATCTCAATAAAAGAATTAATTATTAAGTTTTTTTATATGTTTACAGGACTTTGGGGTTTAGTGAACAACGCCGGAGTCTGCGTGCTGGGCGAGTTCGAGTGGATGACACAGGAGCAGGTCGAAAATACCTTCGGGGTCAACGTCCTGGGAACTCTGCGATTGTCCAAAGCCTGCCTGCCTTACATCCGCAAAAGCAAAGGTGAAAACAGATTTACATCACGCATACCTTTGCCCAGTGCGTAGTGTGTCAAGCGCGTGTCACTCATGCTTTCCCTGCATTCGCAAGAGCAGAAATGATCACGTACGACAAGCGTGTCCTTGCCTAATGTATGTGGTGTGTTTGTCATCCATGCTTGCCGCTCAAGAGCAGCCGAGCAATTTGAAGGCTGGCGTTGCAAGAAAAAGATCGTAGAAGATCTTCTATTTTGCCGCCTTTTCACTGCGGTGGCGTGTAAGTGCTGTTTGTTTTATTAAAAACTGATGACGACGTCACCTTATCAGTGGCGCTCGGATCAGAAGCCGCTACCATTTCGTTTCCCTCACTCGCTATCGCTGTTGAAGACATTAGCTAGGGGACCAGAAATCAACATTCACACTCTTTAACAGGACGTCTGAACTTCTGCCTCTTGCTCTGTTTTCATTTTTTGAACGAACTTCATGGGACAAAATAATCCAAAATAGCCGCGAAGGACAGGTTCGGGAAGAATCAACGAGTCCACATATACAATTCACCTGCTCGCAGTTATCTGAAAAAGGTAGTACCGCTCTTTTTATTTTCATTGGCAGATAAGACACGTATCAGTCATTTCTGATGCCGTATTTTATGATTTAGGTTTTGATAATTCTTCTTAATTCTCCACATTCTTCTGTGCCGCTGTTTAGTTCAACCATACGCTAATAACTGCACAGTTAGTCGATCAAGTTCTTTGGCTGATCCTACCCTTATTGTTATTTGATCACGACATCGTTGAGTCCGTCGCTTGACTAGGCGCAAAATAAAATAAAACTAAACAACGTACGACTGAGAAAGAAAACAACGCCAAAAACTGAGAGGCGTTTTTCTTTTCCTGAAGTCGCTTCCTTCAAGTTTTCCTGCCATAGACCTCCTTCTTAATGCATTTCATTAGCGCGTGGGCAAGATGCCACTGGAATTTATTTGATTGGGCACTCTCATTCTTTATTAAGTGTGGTTCATTCATCGGGGCTGCTGACTTGCCAGGTATTTCTCTCAGGTTTCATCAGGACCACGTTTCAAGCGCTCATTGAAATACTAGATCAATCGCGTTAACTGCGAGAGCACATCGCTTCCTCGGCAAGGAGTTCTCGAATCGTAAAAATATGCTCTGGACAGTGGCGTAGCCAGGGGGGGGGGGGGGGGGGGGGGTGTTCAAGGGTCTTTACCCCCCGAAATTGTATGTTTTTTTCTCTTACCCCTTTCCGGTGTCAGTTTCTTTTTATTTTTTTTTTTTTTATTTTTTGTGCCTCGCCGTTTTGTTGTGGCATCGAAAAAATCCTGTTTTCTTTCTGTTCGACAACCCAAAACGGCGAGAAGCCGGGCCCACAACATTCCAAAGCAAAGCGAAGACGACGACACTGTCCGTGGACTGCGTGATAAGCATAAGTTTGGCTCCGGCTCTCTGAAGAGCTCTCGCCGAACTCGGCGGTGTTAGTAACTGAAGCCAGTCTTCAGGCTCGCAGATGCGAATGGCTCAGCACCCGACATTATAAAAGCCGCGAAATAATGACCTCGAAGGACGCTGACCTCGCCTCGGAGAATACAGGCGGCTTGACTCAAGTTCTCCTACCCTTTGAGTTCCAATGACCCGATGACAATTTCATGTCATCGAGTTTTTGAGGTGAACGGAGTATTGGGGCTGCGCTTCTGAACATTCACAGAACATCCCAGCCAGGCAATAATAATTCCTGGAGATGGGGAACAAGGGGGACAAAGGACAAACACAAAACTCCAAACACAGCTAAATGACTAATGCATGACCGAAAAAAAAATTTTTCCGGTCGCGCACCAGTCACCTAGCTGTGTTTGGAGTTTTGTGTTTGTCCTTTGTCCGCCTTGTCCACTTGTCCAGGGATTATTATTGTCCTTCTTGTCCAGCTCGCTTGCACCTTTGCATCAATTGCATTATCGTCCAAGTCAACCCCAAAAAAGTCTTCTCGCTTCTTTCTATTGAAAGACGGCGGCTTCCACTAAATGTTTAGACCCCCCAAACTGATAGGTACCGGTACTTTTCCCTGCCACTTTCTCGTAAAACGACAACGAAGAACGGAAAGAACCCGTAACATGACCATAACACAATAATTTCTGTAACTTATGATCAGCGCAAGGAGAATGAGCGTAACGCTTCACTTGCCCATTGCCCCAGTGTGCATTCCAGTTTTTATGTTTAATCGTATTCTACATTTCGTTATTCTCTGGCACCCTTCCGTATTTCTCAGTCATTGGATACCCGAGTGCTCCACAGAGAAGTGCACGCACCGGAATATTTTGTGAGCCTCTTTGGACTTTTTTGTTCAATGCATTTGTGTTTCATGACTGTATTTCATTGCATTGTATTTCATGACTGCGTGTTTTCGTTGTTCACCATTAAAGTTCCCCTTCTTAAAGATTGGACGAAGGAGATGTGGCAAAATTTTCGAATTTTTGTTTTCTAAGAAACGGAAAAAGATACTAAAATCGTGTTTGTGCAATTTCCCTTCCTTTCTCTTTTTTATTGTTGTTGTTTTGTCTTTCGAATGGCTTGAGCAGAGACAAACACCCACTGAAAAAGTTTCCTCGCTACGCCACTGGCTCTGGACATGACGGAATTTCACTGTCGCTTTAGGACGACTGGTGACCATCACGACCGTGATGGCCGTGTCCAGTTTCCCTGGAATGAGCGTCTACTGTGCCAGCAAGTTTGCCCTGGAGACCTTCTGTGACGTCCTCAGAATAGAACTGTCCAGGCACGGCGCCTACGCGAGTGTCATCCGACCGGGAGACCTTGTCAAGCACACCAGGATTCTGGAGGCTCAAAAGTCACACGCTCAGGTGAGATGCCTACCCAGGAAGCATGCCAGAAAAAAAAAAAAAACCCAACTTAGAACTACTTCGTTTCAATTTATCTGCGAGCGAAGCCAAAGCTAGAAGCGCGAGACCAGCGCTTTGTGCGTTTCACCCCAGCTTGCACGCTCGAGCAAAGCCTGAACGCAAGGAGCTTCCGTGCACGCGCTTCCAGCTTCCAGCGTTGGGCCTAATACGATTCTTCTCCCAAGCGTTAGATAGTGACGAAGTTTTTTTTTTTTTTCTTCTTTCTTTGGCGTTTTGATGGCTTTATTTTTTTATTTTTTGCTCGTCAGATATTGGCCAAATTGCTAGACTTGAGCCAAAATTGTTACGCATTAGCCAAACAACCCAGAGTGAAGCCTTGATCCCGCACATTTTTGGCAATTTGAGCCCAAAGTTGCCACGTGAAAAACTGAACACTCAAAAGTGCAGCCTACCTCTGGCACTTATCTGGCGATTTAAGCCCAAAAAATACCAAATCACAGCCACACTACCTGCGGTGAAGCTGCTTAGCCTGACGTTGGAACTTGTTTGGCGAATTAGGGAGAATATACCTAGAACATCAAGTTTGGCTTTATGTCAGCTTCTTCGAGATTTCGATGCCCTAAATTCCAAGACAAAGACAAAAGTATGACCCAAAAAATTGTGGTACCTACCTCATTACAAGGACTGGACAATTGATCGATTAACCTTCCAATTAACTAATTGAGACTTGAATTTTCATCATTTCTTTTAACCGGCCAATCAGTAATATTCATGGCATGAAAAGGTTCTGTGGAAAATAAAAAAAGGCCTGCTTGATTAGTTGGTGCTCATATTTTCACTGTAACAGGACACACCGTTCTCTTCGAAGATAAAGCACTTTAGCATTCCACTTGGATGTCATGAAATGGAATTATAAGGTTAAATATTACTATATAATATTTTATTTATTAAAATTGTTTACTCCTGTTGCATATTTGTCGGTTGTAACACGACAAATTCCAAATTAGGATATACGACCTCTCATTGACGACATAGTATAATCAACAAAACAAAAATCTGTAGTACTGACATTCTCTAGGTCTCTAGAAAATGTGTTTCACACACTTTCAAATGGCCTGGAGTTTAACACAGCAGACTAATCGATTGAGGGGTGGCAATCAACCGGGTTAAAAGTTTTAATCTACACCCGGCTCTCCTGATTACTTTACCGGCGTTTTTGTTTAGTGCATCAAGGCAAGACAACCACTCGTGTTTGCGCTAAATCTTTTGTTGGGGAAAACCAAAGTATGTTCGCGTACTTTGCATATAGCGTATAGCGACACGCTACTAATGGGACATGTACCATAGCAATACCTGGGGTCCGCATACAGCCCGTGGAAATGTCTCTGAGATTGAACATCTTTGTGGCACAACATACGGCTACCAGTCACCGCTCTCGGAGAGAGTATGTTTATTGTACTACGAAAACTCGCCATATTCGGACATCCTTGAGGTTGACAACTTCGCGATAACAACAACTGTCATTCATTTCCTTCATGAGGCTCGACTTCAAGGCTGCGGGGGCAAGCTTGCGTAGGTAATTGCGTAGATTTTAAAGAAAGAAAGAGAGAGAGAGAAAAATAAATAAAGGAAAGATGGGGAGCCTAGTCTGAATGTAAACATATGCTGATTGTCGTATACTCGAAGGAAAAGGAAGGTGAACAAGAATGACTGGGCGAGGCATGACCACGAGCAGTCTTGCACACATTACTAGAAAAAAAAGTTAACGATTACAATTACAATTACACTAAGTTAAAAAAAAGATATTAAATTAGATTATTTGATTACTCGAGTAGAAAAGTAATCGGCCGTTACTTGAACAAGTAACCGTTACTTCCTCGATTCCTTCAAATTTTCAAAATGATAGGTTGTTCTGCCAGTTTGAAAACGATTCTTTCGTGCCGTCCACTATCGAATGACATAGAATCACCAAATTATATTTCTCATCTCCTTATACACTTCTGTTGGTAAACAATCCTCGTGTGAGACACTTTGTTCGAGAATTTCTTGGTAGGAAACTTTTACAAACAAAACTGAGGAGAAAGATTACTCTTGCAATTAATTCTTAATAAATGTGTTCAAACGATTACAGAATTGCTCCTAAAAGCAGTTTATTACAAGTTATTTGATTACTAGAAACGAGTATCGTAGAATTCTGCCCGTAAGCCATAAGTATACAAAGCGCACAACTGCGTTGTGTCCCCATGTACGGCTAGCACGACTAATCTCGCCGCTGCGCTTTTTTTTTTTCTCCGCAGGACATGTGGAACGCCATGAACAGCGAACAGCAGAGCCTCTACGAGCCCTACATGGCGGCCTTCATCAGCGGTCGTGCCAACAGCGGAGGCATGCTGGGCACCGAAGCGCTGGACGACTCTCCGGTCTTCGGCCACATCGAACACGCGCTGGGAGCGGCCCGACCTCGGGCCCGCTACATGAGCGACAAGAGCCTGTGGCCAGTCTTCCTGCGGTTCCTGGCCCTCCTACCCACCACCCTGTCGGATGCCCTCCAGTCCCTCTGCTACCGCGTCATCTTCCTCCACTACGGCTCCCAGTTCGCCGAGAAATCTACGACGGAGAAAGTTCGATAAGATGACGGCTGACGTGCGCCTTCTACCGGTGCAGCATCGCCCAGAATGATCGAAACTCGCGAACGACCTCCTCTCTCTCCATGGAACGTCATCAGAGTCAGATGGTGCCAACTCGGCAATGAACCTCTTTCGAGACACCATCGAACCGCATTGGCAGTCGCCATTTCTCGGACTAGGTGGCAAAAGCTACCGCCCGTTAACAAAGGGTATAGATATTAACATCTATCCATCCATCCGGGCACAAAGCTTGGGATTGGATCCGAGTCCTCAGAAAACCTCAACCCTAGTTCTCAATATGAGCTGAGCCGAGTTCACGCCGAACTCTGGTGCAGCCCTCGTGTCCGTTACATGCTCAGAGTACGTGCCCATGGCGCGAGCTCTTCTTAAAAAAGTGGCTAGGGTACAAAATTGTTTTCGAGGTCGCCCGGTGCAGAGTGAAAATCCGCATAATCATCATGATCATCATCATCATCAATTGGACCCGAACCCGCACAGGCCTTGATTATCCTAGGTTGTGTGTACTGCCACAAGAGGTCTTGCCCGGCGACGGTCAACCGCAGTGTCTGAACAAGATGCAGCTGTGATAGCTTTGTTCTCTTTCAACGAGAGAGACGCTTCGAGGAGTGCGTAGATTGGTCGGTGCCGTCAGAGGACAAGAGAAGAAAGAGGTCTGCCCGAGTGCCTTTCTCCGAAGAGTGGCCAACGACGAGGAGATTATTGACTAGGTATCTCGAGTCACGGTGGACGCTCGTGCGAGTGAGGTGCTGCAGGCCGCAGATAAAAAGAACAATCGTCTGCGAGTGGACTATATATGGTGGCTTGAATCGCCGATTAGAGTGACTTCAGAAGGATGCGAGGGCTACGGGCCCTTACGTGCCACATTGTGCTTGACGCTGGCCGTCAGGGCTTCAGCACTGTGTTTTATAGTTATCCCAGAGGTCGCTCGAAGCGACCCCAGGGGAATACGCGAAACGGGTACTTCTCTATTGTGAGGAGTTGTTTCGCTCCGTCGAACATACAAATAAAAACGTCATCTGACTCGCGTTACCCAGTTTGTCTACATTTTTGCACCAGTTTGTTAGTACGATACTGTAAAATTTAAGACACTTAAAGAGCAATGGCCTTTTTTAATGTAACATTGAAATCAGATAAATGAAATAAGATCAAGGATATCATATTCTTATGAACGTTTGATACTTTTTTGAATACTCAAACCCTTTATTTTCGCTGCCCCAATTTTTCGCGAATTTCATTTCATTTCATTCATTATGTCTCTCAGGGCCCGAACGTATTACAAAGAGGAGTGGGGCACAGTAAATAGAACAAAGCAAATAACAATGAAAAAGCAAAAAACTACACGAAATAATTCATTTAACAGGTTTGTAATGAAATAAAACAAATATCAATGAAAAGTCAAATAACACACAAACTTACTACTAAACATCATGTAGCAGGTCAGTAATGGCCATCTTAAATTTATCTGAGGCAGTGATTGTGACAATGGCTGCGGGAAGGCGGTTCTAGTCAATCGAGGTTTGAGGCAAAACAGAGGCATTAAAGGTAGATGTGCTGCAATGGGGGATTCCAACTTTTAATTGATGATCGCTGCGTGATGATATGTGAAATGGTTCAGAAAATAGTGCTTGGCGGAGAGTAGGGCTAGAGTGATAAATCTTTCTCTTCGTCTTTCGACGAAGAGCAAGAGTGGGCAAGGATAGAGATGCTTTCATTAAAGTGGTGCTAGCTGTGCGGTGATAGTTAGAAAGTGTAAAATGGGTGGAGCAATTTTGAATTGATTCTACGGCAGATGCAAGGGTGATACCAGGGTTCCAGATTGAGGCGGCCTATTCAAGTTTAGGGCGAATTAAAGTTTTATAAGTGAGAAGCTTTAATGAAAGAGGGGAAAGAAAAAAAGTTTCTTTTGATGTATCCTAATAGTTGATTAGCGTTTTCCGTGACATAGTCGACATGAATATTCCAGTACAGATCGTTTGAAATGTGAACACGGAGGTATTTGTAGGAGGACACAGGAAAGAGGGTAGAGTTATTGATGGAGTAGGAAGCACAAATGTTAATTTGACGAGAGACACACATGGATTAACATTTAGAGATATTAAGTTCCATAAGCCAGTCGTTGCACCATTGGGTTGCATTGTTAATATAGGTTTGAAGAGCACAGATGTCAGAGTCGTAAAGGATTTCTTTGTAAATAACACAGTCGTCAGCAAAACGGCTAACAGAAGAGGAGACACGGGTAGGGAGATCATTAATATACATAAGAAATAGTAGTGGACCGAGTACAGAATCTTGTAGGACACCGGAGTTGACAGGCGAGTATGGAGAATTAGTTCCGTTGGCGCGGTCAAACTGTAGACGGTTAGTCAGAAATGCGTCTATACAAGCGAGAACATATGGACACATGTAAAGGCTACTAAGTTTGCGGAGAAAAAGGGCGTGAGGAACTTTGTCAAATGCTTTAGAAAAATCAAGGATTATGCACTCAGTTCTAGAACCCTTGTCAAGTGTGACATGGAGATTATGAGTAAAGGTAAGAAGTTGGGTTTCGCATAAGTAAAACTTCCGAAAACCATGTTCTGATGTGTTAAAGAAAGAGTTAGAATCCAGAAAGTTTTCAAGTTGAGAGTAAATGACTAAATGACGTGTTCAATGATTTTGCATGGTATACTTGTTATGGAGATTGGACGCTAGCTAGATTATGTTTATCGCCACCTTTGTGTGCAGGAACCACCTTATCCACCTTCCAATCCAATGGCAAGACACCATGTTGAAGCGACTGAGAAAAAATCTTGAACAGGATAGTGCTGGAATACATTTTAGTGTTTTGCAACGACTATGACGCCGCGATCCGGAAGTACACCGAAGGTGGAATTGCAGAAGAAGTGTCAGATGAGCGGACTGGATCTCGGAAGTTCTACATGCCGCACCAATCAATTTGTCGCGAAAGGAGCACCACCACTAAATTGCGAGTGGTATTTGACGCTTCTTCCCATAACAAAAGCTCGAAGTCGTTGAACGACTGTTGGGAAAGTGGCCCCAACCTGAACCCGGATATTGTCGCGTTGCTTCTGAGCTTCAGAAGACATTGTATCGCGCTGGTGGCCGACATCGAGAAGGCGTTTCTTCAGATAAGTATACAAGAAGATGATCGCGATGCGTTACGCTTCCTGTGGTATCAAACTACCCCACAGCTCGGAAGACCACTTCCTCCAATTCTCATCTGGAGGATGACAAGAGTTCCTTTTGGAACTACATCGAGCCCATTTTTATTGCCTGCGACGATAAAACATCACCTGGAAACAATGAAGAAAGAGTATCCAGACACCGCGGTGCTGCTGCAAGATTCCATTTACGTGGATGACATTCTTACCGGTGCATCCAGCGAAGAAGAAGCCACTAAGATCTTCAAGGAATCGACAGCGATTTTCGAGCAAGCGTCAATGAAGCTGCACAAAGTGGGTGTCTAACTCGAAAACGCTCTTAAATGAGGTCGACTCGAATCACCACGAGGAACAACCATTGGGGCAGGTTGCGGGAGTTTTCAAGGTGCTGGGACTAACGTGGAACCCTCCCACATACTTCTTAACATTTGCACCAGACGATGTTCTGAACATCGTGGAGAAGCACTCAGACACAAAAAGGTTTGTCCTACAGACTACAGCCAGACTCTACGATTTCCTAGGATTCATCGCGCCATTTGTCGTGCGAGAAAAGATCCTATTTCAACAAATCTGGAAACAGAAGATGGAGTGGGACGACCTACTGCCCCTTGACCTGCGCAGTGAATGGCACCGATGGTGTGCGGATCTTCCATTGCTATGCGACGTCATGGTGCCATGGTTCTACAGACGGGGAATAGAGGGATCGACGATCAAGACAAACCTGCACATCTTTGCCGATGCAAGTCCTCAGGCGTATGCAGCCGTAGCATACGTACCTATGACGAATGATTCCGGCACCACGACATCCACGATCCTGCTTTGCAAGTCTCGAGTGGCACGTATAAAAGAACTTTCTGTAGCGAGGCTAGAACTTTTGGCATGTCTTTTGGCAACCAGATTAAGCCTCTACATTAAGACCAAGCTGCAGGAGAACGTCCTCGAAGTGCACTTGTGGACCGATGCGAAGATAGCTCTTCATTGGATCCTCGGAGAAGCAAACGACTGGAAACAGTTTGTAAAAAATAGAGTCGTTGAAATCCAGCGAAACTCTGATCCTTGCTCTCGGAAACACTGCCTAGGCAAAGAGAACCCAGCTGACCTGGTGACCAGAGGAATCACAGCCACGGAGCTGCTCGACAGTGAAGTATGGTGGAAAGGACCTAGCTGGTTAACCGTACGAGAGCGGTGGCCAGAGAAGTCTGAACCGCAAGAATTAAATATAGAAGAAACAGAGAAGAAAAAGGAGGCAGCGTTACTCACGGCAACAGCAGACCAAAGGATGGTTCCAGAAATTGAGCGGTTTAGCACAGCTATGCGACTTCGGCGAACAATGGCGTGGGTACTTCGCTTTATAATGAAGTCTAAAAGAGTTAGCGCTCAAACTGGATCATTAACCGCGGAAGAATTTAACAGATCCGAAAGATATATAATAAATACCGTACAACGTAGAGCCTTTGAACAGGAGATAAAGAATCTTCAAGACGGCAAGAAACTACCGCCGGATTCTCCTATAGAAGGCATTTCTCTTTTTTTTTAGTAAAAATGAAATACTTCGGGTAGAAGGAAGACTACAGTTCTCCGATAAATGCTTTGAAGAAAGGCATCCCGTTGTGCTGCCGAAAGACGACCACTTTTCGAAGTTGGTGATAACTGGAGCACATCGTAGACTATTGCACGAGGGAGTGCGTGACACACTCGTGCAAATGCGGGAGCGATACTGGATCGTGAGAGCTCGGCAAATGATAAAAAAAAAGAAATCAAGAAATGCATCGCATGTCAACGGCTGAACGCCAGACCAATGTCAGAAGTGACGGCGCCCTT